TGTCATGGATCGCACTCATATACTCCGTTACTAAACTATCCTTAGACTTACCGACCGCTATAACTTCAAGAAACCAAACGACCGCCGCGCGCTGGATCTGATGAATGCTGCGGCCGTTGAGGTAATGAAAGATCTTCCGGACCTGTGCATTGCATATGGCGTCAGCGACGAGTATAGGTCTGTCCCCTGGCCCACGCCGCGCTCTACTTACAACGACACTAACCTATATCAGCTTCGTATTCCATCCAAGCTGCCAGTTATTCGAGCGGCGGAGTGCGTAAGTTATGCAACATTCCCAGCTATTCACGGCCCAGTCAAGGAGGCTTAGGCTTACATGATAATAGCAAGCTTGTAACGACCATTGTATCTACATTTACAGCCCATTATGTGTACCTATGGGGAACGTACTTCCCCGATAGCCCGCTTGAGCCTCCATATTTGCCTTCCTTTGATGGAAGAGCAGTCATGTATCCCGCTACTAGGAACTTGCGTGACTATATGAGCTGGAGGCAGGTGGATTGTGAGTTTACTGCGTGCCCCTCGTTTGTGAAGATTTAACTCACAGCCCTACTCGAAGGCCATATCAATAACCTTTATAACACAACTTTCTGGACCATGGTCCAGCAGGGCGGCATGAGTAACACGGATGCTGAACAAGAGTTGAAGGTGAGAAGTTCATGCTGTCTTTCTTCTCCTCCGGGGGCTAATGGTTGGCTCCAATCATAGGGGACAGTATCGTCGGACAAGAATGAGATCCTCTTCAAGAGATTCGGGATTAATTATAACAATGAGGAGGAGATATACAAGAAGGGTAGTGTGCTTTATCGTCAAGTAAGTTGATCAACATTTACATATCAGGAACTGATACACTGATACGGCCTGCAGTACCAACTAGAGGACATCAAGCCAAAGTCAGAGCCTAATTCAGGAGTGCTGGCAGAGGAGGAAGGCAATTATGTCCAAGAAGCGAAGGCCTCCAGATCGCAACAGGACAAGCTTCGTAAATTGCGCCGAAAGGCACAAGTTGTCGTTGACCATGTCGACATCATCAAAGATGAATTCTGGGAGCGGAGGCCGTGGATTCTATCAGGAAAGCCGGGTAAATTGCCCACGGAGGCCTAAGTTACGATTTATGGGTAAAAGGATATCAAATTCAGACGTGACACGATATATAATATAATCTTCATAAAGACCGCAGTAGCTGTAGCAAATGGGTATCTATCTATGTACGGCTGTGAGCAAAAATATGATATCCTAAAAAAAATAAATCTACCTCTAGTCAGCTCACTCCTTTTTCGACTTTTTGGCATCCTTCGACTTCTTCGATTTTGACTTCGAGCCATCTTCAAGTGTTGATTCCTCGCTCTTCTTCCTCTTTTTGCTTTCCTTGTCCTTCTCTTTCTCCTTCTTTTCCTTTTTCTCTTTCTTCTTCTTCGCTTTTTCAGAGGAGTCTTCGCGTCCACTAGACTCTGTCTGGTCGTTCTCGATCGATATCGGAGTAGGATAGTCCTCTTCCGGGTTATGTTCTTCCTTCGCCTTCTTGCTCTTGCGTGTGGCTTTTTCATTCTCATCAGTAGTGCTCTCCTCCGCCTTCTTAGCCTTTTTCAGCTTCTTCTTCAATTCCTTTGCCTCCTTCTTCCTCCTCTTCTCTTCCTTCCGTTGGCGCCTCTCCTCCTTGCTCTCCTTCCGATCCTTAGAATCCCGATCACTGCGCGACACAGTAGAATCCTCCCCCTCCTCAACCTTCTTCCTCTTGCGCTCCTCCTTCCTCAACTTCTTCGCCTCCCGATCCTCCTCCCCATCCACATCATCCTTCTTCCTCTTCTTAGACTCCGCCTTGGACTCGGAGCCCTTCTTCTTCTCCTCATCCTTCGACCCAAGCGTCCCCGGAACAACCTCCCCCCTCACAAAATACCGATAAAGCTCACTTGTCAACGCATTCGGCTTCTTCTCCGCCCCAGCATTATTCTCATCCCCAACGCCCTTCAGCGCATCCTCGAATCCGCGCAACCACCACTGGTTCGTCGGGTCTTTGGTTGTCGTCTGCCCGACGCCGAGATTGCCTTTGCGTCGCGAGACGAGAATCGGTTTCGTGAGGCCGAGGCCAGCGTGTGTGCCTGGGCGGCGATTGGGGTTAAGTGGGTTGCCGGGGCCTGACCAGCCGTGGCGGATTAGGTAGGCTTGTGCGTCCATTTTCTTTTGTACTTGTTCTTGGGGTGCTGAATTCGGTGGTGTGGGTTGAGCGATTGGTCCGTGTGGTGGTTTATATAGAGGTTTTGTTGGAGTGGATATAGTTTTGTTCCTGTTGCAATGTGATTTTCAGGTAAGGTGCTGCTGATAAGAGGGAGTGACAGGACAGTGGGCTATGGGGACATGACCCGAGTCACGATATAATTAATTTCAGAAGATACCCCTGTGAAAAAAAGAGAGAATAAGGAAGGGGGAAAAGTTGAGTGAAGACGACGACACCAGAAGAAAGAGAAACGAGATCCAGGACAAGAAAAAAAAATTCCTCCGCAGGAGATAAGGATTTCTTGATCGGGCTATCTTATGCTTGTCTAGCCCATGTTAAACATATTTTCACCCGATCTGATAAGAAGTCAGTTGCGTGGTCTAATGGTTATGATTTCTCATTCACATTCAGTTGTTTACTGAGAAGGTTCCCGGTTCGATCCCGGGCGCGACTACTTTTTTTGCTCTTTGTCGTCTACAGGCATGTGGGTTGCATTTTGCTCATCTACTACTACTAGTAGTATGTCACGAGCTATTTTTCTACTTCATGCAGTCATCTACTCCTTTTTCTTTTTCTTTTTTTTTTTGTGGGCCTCGCACTACACGTAACCTAGTAGGCCACCTACATAATTCATTCACACTTAAAATCCCTCATTACAACCCAGCTGCAACGTAGTTTGTACCTTCTCTCGTATAAAGTTACCGCTCGGAGTTTTCTTCCGCGCAGATATATATTCACCAACCAAGGCCGGCCGCCCCCACGTAGAGCACAAACCAACGTAGCAATCGCAGTGGGCATTCCCTCATGCGATCGAACTCAATTCCGCGGCCTAAGTGGTTCATCGGCTGACCGCATCCTTGCCCAAGTGGGCTGCGTAAACATTGGGAATCCGCAAGCCTCGGCGCAAGACGGGCTGGAGAATGGAGAACTAAGAAAATTTTTTCTTCTGAGGTATGCAGGGCCATGGTACGTGCGCGATTTCTGCATCAGCATACAGCGTATGAACGGGGAGGGTTGTGTTGGTAGTAAATAGATTGCGACTGTCAGCAGAAAAGATCTGATATCCGGCTAACTATATGGGATTTGATATAGGGCAGGGGTTGGGTGGAATATCGGGCCATCCCGCTTGCAGTAAATGGTGAACTTATGCTCAGTGCTACTGGGAGTCCGATCCTTGCGGAGGACGGACTTGGAGGGGTGCAGGTCAGGGTTGTACAGATCCCTGCCGGTGCAGAAGAAGGGTAGATTGAAAATACGCTGGTACGACGAGTGGGTTTGAAACATACGGCAAGACCGGCACAACATGACAGCATCCGTATTGCCAAGGCCACGTATTTTTACATTCTATCGTGGCGGACGTGGTAATGAAACGAGTGAGGCCCTAATTTAATAGGGTTTGAACCGTCCCTTATCCTTATTCTTTTTCGGCCGCGCAGTCTTGTTTAAGGAATCATCGCCCTGCGCCTCTCCGGACTCCGGCTTCCATGCGCGGACAAATCCGTCTTCACCGCAGGTAAATACTGATTGGGACTGCGATCGACGTTAGTTGCTGATCAAATAGGGGTGTTGGCAAGGGGGCATACCTGTTCGTCCAGATAGATGGAACGTACAACCTCCTCACCGTGAGCGCCAGGAAGACGCCACAGGTTCTCTTGGTCGAATTGCCAAGATGGGTTTGAGGTAAGAGGGACCAAGTCCAGGCGTCTCTCCCTGGACATTGTTAGCGCACGAAGCATACACAGATAAGGAATAAGTAGTAAAGGCCAGAAAAAAAAAAATTAGAACAAAACCAAACTAACATTTTATGGCCAGCGGCAATATAGGGGCCCTGACTGCCAATGCATAACTGAGCAATGTATTCACAGCCTAGGGGCTGTCTTAGGTCTCCGAATTGCACAGGATTAGGCTCCTGCGCCTCTTCTTCCGGATCCGTAGCCGGGTGAATCGAGAACACTTCATCGTGACTGAGAGCGTAGATGGTCCTCTCGCTTAAGAACCCGGCGTGATGTACTGAGCCATGGTTGATAACTTGTACAAGAGCCTCGTCTTCGTCTGTAATATCGGTGTTATAGACGTTGACTAGACCATCCGTGCTTCCGGAAAGCACGATATTGTTCCTCGTCGGGTGATATTGGAGCTGCCAATCATCAAGAAAGTTTGTCAGGGGAAAGTATAACCACGGCACAGGAGTGAGCCTACCTCAGTGACATCGTCATTGTGGCTTTCAACGTACTGAAGCCGAGATTGACCCGGGGATCTGGCATCCCTGTTACGTCAGTTAGCAGCTCGTGAATTGGAGATGCGGGTGTGAGACCACCACCAAGAAGTCAACCGTTGATGTGTGGCTATACTCATATGGAATGCAACGGACTCACCAAAAAGCAACAACGGCCTGCGAAGAAACAAGTTCAGTGCCGGCTACGAGGCTGTTTGTTGCAGGACAACAGGCTATAGATAGAACCGGCGCGTCTCTTGCTGTTAAAAAATCAGTTGACTGTACGACTACATCATAAGTTCCGAATGATTGGCGTTGGCCAACACATCAAGATGCATCCATGTTTGTTGCCAGAAAAAGTGCTCCTCAAAAAGCAGTGCGACCTTGTCCGCGGCCGTAACATTGCCAAGCAGTAGGTAGCAAGAAAAAGGAGGGGGAATAGAAGAACAAGGGAGGGTGGGAAAGAAAGCAGGGAATCTTACATGTCTCCACCTCTACAACTGCCGACCTCTTGCCATTTCGCAGATCCCAAAGCTTCACCCTCCCGTCTCTTCCTCCAGTAGCAAGCAGTTGCTGACCCGCATCATACGATTTCAGCGACGTGACTCCCTTGTGGGCGTCGGCAGCCACCACAGAGACATGGCTAAGGCTAGCGGCATCAAACACACGCAGGGAGTCGTCCGACGCAATGGCTGCGAATGAGCCTGGGCTTGATGAAGCAATGGAGTAGATGTAATTGTCCTGAGCGAGTGAAAGCGAGGAAGATGCCGTAGCTTTGAGTGTATGCATGGCTGAACAATGATCGTCTAGTATAACAAAATGGAACCCTCCTGTCCTGTCCTCTCTTAGGGCAAATTGCCACTTCACCAATCACAGGCACTGAAGTCTCAGCCTCAGAGGAATCGATAGACAGCCCCGCAAGAGCAGAACGCAATGCGTGTTTTACTGACTTAGTTATCGGCCGAAGATTGTCTGTTACGTTCGTCCCACAGGTCGGTGGCTGCCGGAGTGGTCTCGATATCAAGCCAGACGGGAAAGTTCTTGCTAAAACCAACTTCTTTGTCTTTTCCTTGACGTGGCTTACTCTGATAGGAAATAAGCGACCGACGAAGGGAGATTGGTGTTGGATATCACAGACGATTCTTAGAATGGCCTGTTTTCTTTGCTTTTTCTTTTTTCTTTTTTCCCGGATTCGCCGATGGTACTTCGGGCCTTTTGGCGGAAGCTGCGCGAAAGCCAAGAAATTCCTTGCTCGATTTTCCTTTCGGGGACTTTTGTTTGGATGCCTCATGTATGTGGCACCAAAGATTGGCGTGGGAAAATTACAAACACAAACTACTCGAAACATTGCCACAAACACAGTTAGGTGCTTACTTACTATAGGAAGTTATCATTCTCGTTATGTTTTCTTTATTTCGCTGTTTCCAATAAATTGTGCTATCTCACTCACCAGTCCTGTTTTCATTCCGTTTGTTCATTTTTCGAGGATTGTCTAGAATATTCATACTGGAACACAGACCATCCATCACAGGGATGGCGGCAATGCCACCTGACATGGTTAATGAAGCCGACTGCATGCCCGCGCTCTGGAACTGTGCCCCCATAGGGCTATCACCGTTGGGTCTACTCCCCCTAGACCTCTTCCCACACATCCCCGCTTTCTAACCTGAGACGGGCGGGCTAGTCGCAGCAGAGATCAAGATACACAGGCTCAAGAGTACATCCACAAGTTCAATTTGACGCAGTAGCTCTATGGGTTTTATACTATGAGATTCATACGCACCGGGCGACAGTAAACGGGGGCAGTTCATTGTCCATATATGAGAATACTGAGTCGAATCCCAGCGCATTAGGGTTCACCCTCCATACGATATATTTCGTCATAAGACAGTATACTGAACAAGTAATCCAGCGAGTGCTATCCAGCCAAAAATGACGGAATTTTATTTTTTTTTGTTTTTTGTTTTATGTTTTTTTTTTCGATGTTTGCCTTGCTAAGAAGCTTGGAAGAACGAATCGAGTTAGCGACGACCTACTGTACAGATGCTGATTCGGATATTGACCGACCACAGCATGGTGTTGTGATATGAATCAAAGAATGGCGGTGGTGGCGACAGGATTGGTCAATGACCAGAGGAGCTTATTCGTAGTATTATAGCAGTGTGGAGCATTGGGGGGGCAAGAAAGACGAATCGACCAGTTTCTGCCCAGGAGTGTTCCCTCCATTTCCGAAAACAGCGAATCCAGGAGTAGCTGCATATGCACTGCCGCAAAACAACCCCGAAGCGGTTTCAACATTCCTAAAAAGGCGTCCCTGCTTGGGGCGTGAAGCATTAAGCAAACCGGGCCGGTGACTGACAGGACGATAATCTCCCAGGGACGCTGTAGAGATGAAACCATTGGGTTCTTCATCTAAATCATTGGATAATCACCGTTTTTTCTCACCCACTGTGACGCAGGTGGCCCATTTGGTGCATCATGTAGTGACTCGAACGGGGTAGTACCCTTCATGCCTGATCCAGGTCAGTTAGTTAAGAGCTAACACACAGGTGGCTTTTCAATAGGGATCTTGGAAGATGTAGAATTTGAAAGATTTTCCGTGGTTAACACGCTCTTTTCTACCATATGGTTGTCGAAAGGGGAAAAAGAAACGAGTACCGGTGAAAGCACTAAGCCGGTCATGGCCAGGCCATTCAAGGTTGACAAAGGGGCAAGAAATACTTACTATCTGGTAGTATCTGAAAATCACTGCATCCATCGCATACTACCCTTTTTAGTTGGGAACCAAATAGGGATTCTCATTGGTTACCAACCAAATGCGCATAAATTTGAAGGTCGAGACAACGCTGAGAATAGATAATCCTCCGTTATGGTGGTACCGTTGGATTCTGTGATCGGGGGCTACGCATTTCTGCCCTGAAGTCGGTGAGTTGTTGCTCCAGTTTGAAATGACGCGCCTGATCTTCTGCGAAATACGAAACACAGGGCGTCCTGCGATAGACGCGACTAGACACGGAAGAGATAGAGTGGGCTTTGACTCCTCGTTACGGGGCTTTTGAGGCCAGCCGCCAACCTGCTGACGTATTTGGGGGGTTGAGACCCAGGACGAAGAAGACATGGCCGATGGCGCTTACAGACAATCTGTGATATGGTACCAGTGTTTGAAGTCATTAGTGGGGAAGGAAGGGATAAGTTTTTTTTTTTTTTTTTTTTTTTTTTAACTGGATGTGGTTAGTCTTTCCACTTTGGGTATGGTAATTCATCCTCCGCCCCTTCAACACCGCCTACTGGTTACCTCAGCAAGCTCAGGCCCCT